CCCCAAAACCCCAAAACCCCGCAATGCTTATTGTTAAAGAATTAAAAATTGAGTTAACATATTTAATAAAATTAGTTATAAGATTTAGTGACTATACAAACAAATGATTAATTTCAGGTATTTTAGTTATTTATTATATCAATTTTGAATTCATTTTACCTCATTTAACCTTTGATAAAGGTTGCTGGAAAACTCTTGTATATTTATCGAACAGGATATTGAAATTTATTTTCTTAAGAACGTTAGCTTCTTTTTATTTGTACTTATTTATTAATACCTACTTCTTCTTATCATCATCAACGATTTAATCCTTACTTACTCTTTCATTTAAAAATATCTTCATCTCCTATTCTTCTTATGGAATAATACATTTTTAGTCATGCACAATATTCCTGTTCATTTTAAGATCAAGAGAATTTAATGTAAGCTTCTCAATTTATAGATTTTCAGATTTTAATTCATTTATTCTTGATGACTGACCATAGACTAAAGTATTTTCCTTGTTACTTTCTATATGATTATTAATCTCTAATGTAAACTAAGATATTGATGTATCTAACTCCACATCCTCAAACTTTTCACTTTAAGGCTAACTACTCATGTTATTATTATCGTGTTATTTCTTCTACTCTTAACTTCTCTCTTCAGATTGAATTAATTATTATCTTATAAGTTCAAACTAATTCAACTAGTTCTAGTGATTCTCTTTAATGTAATTAAAGCCATTTTTGCTCTCTTTTTAAATGATAAAACTTGAATTTTCTGATTTCTTGCCACTATCATCTTTAAATGATAAATGACGAATAGGCTCTGTATTTTATTTATTATAGTTTGTAGTAATGGCTTGCTAATAAGTTTTAGCTAAGTTTTATGTCCCTTGATTTTAGTTTTACTATTAATTTTAGTAAAATCCAAATTTAACATGCTTTTCAGATTATTTTTCAATAGTTTTAGTCAATATTTTAGGCTCATTATCCAAGGTTTTAGCCTATGATTATTTCTGCTTGTCATTTTTGATGAAAAAATTATTCTACAAAGGTGGACATTCATCTTTTTCAAATACTATATTCTTTGAAGTTGCATTTTAAGTAGTATTTATCTTGCTTTGAAAAGTATCACCAGTTTTTAAGTTTGATAATTATTTATTTAGGGTTTATGAATTTCGAAATTAGAATTAATTCTTATCAGAAGATTACAGCTATTTTTATGAATTTTAATATTGAAGTGTTTTAGGACTATTCATTTAATGTTGTGAATCTAAATTTCCGATTGTATTTCTAGGTTTAATCACATAATTCTAGTCAATTTCCTAATATAAAAATAACCTTAATAAGTTTTATTTACTAATTGTGAAAGTTTCCTTGAACTTTTGATATTGCTTATGCCCTTATCATTCAAACTTTAAAGCCTACTCTAAAAATCGCTTTAAATGTTACTTCTAGGGGTCTCAGATTCAAGAGATGGTCGATTTTGCTTCTTAGCATTCACTTCTTCAAGAATTTTCCTTTTCTCCTCAATATTCTTTTTCTATATGATAAATAAGTTTCAATTGAGTAAATTACAGCTTTTTCTTCAAATATCCGTTTAAGATCTGAAATAGATGTAGCATTATATTTCTAATTTGAATTCATATTATCATCTTGAGAGCTTTTATTCATATTACTGTCGATTTCCATTTTAAATTTAATAAATACGAGAAATTATTAAAAAATTCATCAATTAACTATATTATTGAAACTAGGGGTTTTGGGGTTTTGGGG